ATGAAACTAACTGAACTTTGGCTGTTCTCTCACACTAGAAATATAAGCACTAGATGGATCACAGGACTAATGTGAATGGTAAGACAACAAAACTTTTAGAAGAACTTAAGAATACCTTCATAATCTTGGGAGAAAGGCTTATCAAATAGGACGCACAAATCATTAACCATAAAAGGATGATACGCTGGATTTCATAAAAATTATGGCTTTCTGGTCATCAAAGGACACCTTTTGGAAAGTGAAAAAGCAAACCAAAGAGAAAATATGTATAATAATATATCAAGCCAAAAAACAAACAAAGAAACAAACTCATATCAATAATATGCAAAGATCCTTTATAAATCAACAGGAAAAAGACAGACAACTTAATAAATATGAACAAGTGACCTGAACAGGCCACTTAACAAATGAGAATATCCAAATGGCTACTAAAGGTGTAAAAAGACTTTCCACATATCATTACTTCTCAGAGAAATGCACTTTATTAAAACCACAATGAAATAAATACACCCTTCCCAGAATGGTAAAACTAATAAGGCTGATGATACCAAACGCTGATGAGGATGTAGAGCAGCTGGAACTCTCACGCACTGCTGGTGGGAGTTAAGTTGGTACAACCACTGCAGAAAACTATTTGGCAATGTCCTCCATAGCTAAATACATACCCATTCTATGACTTAGTAGTTTCATTCTTCGGTATAAATCCAAGAGAAATGAGTGCACGTGTCCACTAAAAAATATATACAGGAATGCTCATGGCAGCTTTAGATAGAAAAGCTGAAGATTAAAAATGACTCAAATGTTCATTGACAGTAGAATGGCTATTTTGTCATATATTTATCTGATAGGATACTACGCAGGTATGAAAACAAGCAAACTATTGTTGTTGCTACATGCAACAACTTTGGTGAATTTCACAGATATAAGGCTGACCAAATAAAACCAAACACAAAAGACTACTACCAGACTGTATAATCCATTTACAGAAAGGTCAAGAATAAGCAAACTAATCTATGGTGACAGAAGTCGGACAGTGTTTCACACCAAACGTTTGTATCTCAGAGCTGTGAGGCTGCTCACCTTCTCACACAGTATCGTTATGTCCTTATTCCTACATAATTTTCACCCCCACAACCTTTCCTCATCTATCTCAATCAAGTCCTATTTCTCTGAAGCTATTTACAACCGATAAACGTTAGTATGTAACACATGAAGAAGCAATGAGCCATCAGCGTAGGGTACAGTAATATGTGGTCATACAGTTAGCCGGAAAACAGAAACAGCCAGTCCAAAAGCACGACTGCTCCAGTTCATGAGGACAGCGCAGACTGCGACGGACAGGAAAGGCATTTGAACTGTAGCTCGACTACACTTTTAATTGTCCATGTAGAACAGAAGAAAAACAATGTTTTCATCTTCCACTGACTTTCTACTTATTAGACTTTTTCACCTCCCATTGACTTTCTAGTGAGACAAACTCTTCTCTACGTAAAGCTGTGGAAGAATTTACATAGTGACATAGGTTACTGCAGCTTAGATTATTTCCAAAAAGTTTTCAGCGCCACACCTCAGGATGCAGATACCATTTTAGATAGAAGTATACCAGCTGTACATTAAAATGCCAGTCTTTCAAAAAGTCCTCGAAGTATGTGTACACGTGGTTTTCTCGTCTTCTTTTGAAAAATTCATGCCAGTAAAGTTTCTAGGGATATTTTTCAAAATTGTATTACTAAAGCATCAACTTTATATATGTAATGCAGCACCTATATATTTCCTTTTAGAGTCATCAAAAGAATGAGAATTATTATACATTTAATTTCCCTTTTACCAGTATTTATAATTTGAACAAATAAGATGGCACTATCCCACCTAAAATAATCAAATGTCTACCACAGCAACAGGTCTTTAGTGAAGAGAATTATCACATATCCATTCCAGCAAAATAAATAGTGCACAGTTTACATGACCAACCTCTCATAAAGTTAAAAATAAAACTACAGTTAAGAATGTCAAGTTCCTTGACCTTACTGGATTCTAAAACAGAAAACAAAGGAAACAATGACTTTCCAATCCACCTAACAAGCAGAAATGCCAGAAAATAAATCTACAGTATTCTGTTCACACAATTGAATTTCCTTCTCTAAGTCATGATTTTTTTTGTTCTGTTTTCTTTCTTCTTCTTCTTTTTTTAATTACAGGAGGACTTTAAATCATAAATAACAAGATAAAAGAAACTGCTCAACATGGGAAGGAACGAGAAGGAAACTGGATTTTTTTTTTTTTGGTGAAGAGACAAATTTTATAAAACTGTACAAATTAAAAGTGTCATGTAATGGAAAACACTAATGCGAACAACATAATGCAAAGCGTCAACCCAGTTTCCTGTGCTGTGGAGAAAAATTGCTGTTTTAAATATTAACTCAACCCAGATGAAGTATTCAACTCCTTGTAACGTAAGCAGTGCTCTAACAAGAAAAATATTACAAAACGGCCTTCCACCTATCCCGGCAGAAAAATCACAGGAAGATTAAGCCTGATGAATAACTACCAAGAACCTTGTCTTTTAATCCAAGTCTCTTTCTAAATATAAACTATCAACCTTTTTACCATGTGGTCACAAGTAATAATAGAAAGGAAATGGCTGGCAAGCAGCAGTACCTATTTTGCACTCCTATGAAGAAGCTAAGAAATATATATTTGGGAGCCACTTTAGTTTCTTAGTCCTTTCAGTCTAATAGTAGCAGAATATAAAATATTGGCACAAATTCATGAACTAAAAGGTGGACAACAGCCCTGGGGAACAAAAGCTTTAATTACTTAATCACATAATAGAGCTGGGCACACGAAGAAAAAGACTCAGAAAAAATATCTTGAAAGCCCAAAAGTAAGAAATGCCAAAGATGAGGACGGAAATGAGACTAACCAAATGTTCTTAAGATGAAAATTGTTCCTTTGAAAATACATTTTTTTCCTCATATAGACAAAATTTAAATACCTCCTCTTAAGGAAAATATTTTAAGGAATGTCACAAATTGGAGTGAAGTTACTTAACAAGACAGAATAAAACCTTTATGTTGCTCTGGCAGCAATTTTCTTTGGGTAGATTATACTTAAAATATTTATTTGATGTACACTTGCTCTGTTATCTTAATGTTTACCTTTCCATTCTTTGACTAGCGTTCTGAATTGCATCAGAGCCTGCAACATTCATGTTAGTGCCAAAGAAAGGTATCAGATGAAGATGGAAAGGCATGTGGGGGAAATAAGTTAAGTAAAGGCCAGAAATTGGGGTAACATTTGAGGGGCCAAGTCATCTATTTTAAGATATTTCATTATGTTACAATAATTCAGCTATGAGACAATTATTTTGATATAGTGTCAGTGGCATATCATAATTAAGCTTTTTCACTTAGATTTTAAGGAATATTAAAAGTCTGATAATATAAACACCCAAAATAATCAAATGATCTAAGGCACATATAGGCCAATAATTTAGAAATTTTCACCATTTTGAAGTACTGTGATTTTAATAAATATGCCAGTAACTGGTGTTTGAAATGGGGTCAAGGTGAACAAATAAACAGTAAATTGTATACTTTTGTAAAGTATTTGAGAACGTATTTAAAAAATAAAATGACATGCAAAAGGAAGTCTTATTTTTTTAAAAAAGTCACTGTTATCGTAATAGGCTTTTTAAAAATGTAACTTACCTTACATTTAAAATGTAGCCATTTACATGGTTATTAAAGATATCAGCAGTCATATAAAAAATTAAAAGGCAGTTTTTCATGGGTAAATGAATCTGCAACTTCAAGACAAACAAGCATGTTGAAATTAACTCAGGAGATTTGATTTTCTGTTCTAATGGTTTAGCAATTTATTATTTTATGGCGGTTTGGAAGAAGTAATGAATTTTGAAATAGCTAATTTAACTCACTAGGCCGTAAGATCTGGCACAATAATTAGAAGAAATTGGTTTTTAAAAATTTCTTCCCTCTATTACCTTCTTTTTCTTAATCTTGCCTCTCAATTAGCCATATATGGTTATAAAATATATGAGTCAAGATTTATGACGGCATGAAAAACTACATACAATAAAATCAGTAAGGGAAGAAAGGCAGGGCTGAGTTGGTTTTCTCCCTGAAATTGGTATAGAGAATTCACACATAAGTTTTTTCTTAGATCTACTTCTATTTTACTCCTAATACCAAGAGTCTTTTCATTTAACGTTTTCATATGAAGTCCTTTTTAGTTTTATTGATGTGACTAAATGAAAACTTTGTGAATTTTAAAGTGCGTTTCACTATACACTAATAGCCTGCATACAAATGAACCGAGGCAAACTTAGCATCAAATGCTATCTTTCCTGGTGGGGTGAAGATGAAGATGCTTGACAAGACGGCTCTGCTGAGTGTCTTTTGAGCTCTTCTTAAAAGCCCATTCTAGATCATTCAGGGAGGCTCATCGACGGATAGATCAGACTTCTCCTTCCCTTCTCTTCATCTGCCTGACATTTTACCCATTTCATTTTCTGTCAAGTCCTCCGGAAGAGAAGGCAAAGAAAATATATTAAAATGAAACCCATCGATTTTCAATATTCGCAATGAGTCAATTACATCATCAATCATTAGGGTGTACTGACTGCTTTCCTGGATCATTTTCCATTAGCAATGACGTCTTTTCAGTCTATACAACTAGGATGCACAGTTTTAAAAATGACTTGAAGAGCTAAGTTACACATTTCCAAATATATTCGACATAACTATAGATACAAATGGACATTTTCTTACTTATTAGAACTCTGTGCCCGATGGAATCTCATTGTGTGAATCAGCTACAGTTTGGTAATACTTCACACAAGCCTTCCCACCATTACCAGGAATGACTGAAAGCCAGGAGCATAACCGACTCAATGGGAATCATACAGCCATTTGGGCCACTGAAAAGTATAAAAAAGTTATTTCCAACAACCACTGGGGACAAAAATGTGAACAGGATAATACGGTATTTTGAAAATACTTTAATATTTGCCATTTTTGTTGCCTGTGCTATTAATATATACATTGATTTAGTAATAAATATACTACTATTACATAGAGTGCAATATTTTTAGTATTCATAACTGGTTGAAATTAATGCTGCTATTATCTCGAAAAAGGAATAAATAAATATCATGCCCAAATTCCAAACTAATGCGCCAGAGGTTAACATTAACAAGAACTATAAAACAAACATGTTGGGCATTATCTTTTTAAGCATGATTCCTGTAAACATAGCAAAGATCATTTTTCTCAGTCCTGACATTTCATGTGATGGCTTTAAAAGAAAATATAACATACAAATCCTATAGCTTCTTTTTTTGCATAGGGAATGAATTAATCATATTTTAAAATGCAGCAGTCTTTCAGTGAAATGTCTTCATCACATAGCACTTATTTTCTGTATGAATTCAGAACTTTTGAGCAATAAAAGTGCTCTGCATAAGTTTATAAAATATGCCTCTTGGATTTAAAACTTAACAGAAAAATTTCAAAACAAGTCATAGTCATGATTCTAAGCTATTATGTACATAATACCTGACTACAGGAGGGAAGGCCTCTCTGTAGCACACACAGTGTACAAAGATGAAGCACAGTGTTTAATAGAATTTCCCTTTCGGTTTTCCTCACATCATGCCTAAGCGGCTAAGATGATGTTACACCACACAGCCCATCCGACTTGTTGCAAACAAAGTAGAATGGGGGATGTGAGGACAAATTTAAAGTAGATAATGGAAAAAAAAATGGCAAAAATACAGTACATATATGCTTTAAACAGTGCACTTTATAAAATAGTTTGCTTTATTCATATTCCTTTATAAAGTGCAATATTACTTAAAACAGAGACATGTACCTTGATGTTTTGCAATAACCATTAAAACAAATTGCCAGGAAAGAGCAGTGCAAACTTAAAAACACATGTAGCTTAGCATGCATCTCAGAGGGCTCCCAGACAGAGAGCCTGGGCCCGTAAGTTCTTATATCTTTTCTTTCACTTTTAAGGAAAAGGTTAACAATAGCAGGTTATCATCACATGAAACCATAAAATAAAAACAATAAGTTAAAATCTTCTCTCAAGAAGTATATGCCACACATAAAATTCATTACATAATCTTTTTGAAAACAGACATTTCCCTCTGATAAATCACTGTTCAAAGGGTGCAAATCTCTTTAAAACCCACATTATCCACAAGGCGGAGCAAAGGTGTCATCATCACAGTAGGAGCAACTCGTCGGCAGACGTTGGAAACACCTGTGACTTACTTGGTAAGCAGTTCAAATCCATCCAGACCCTAATCCTGCTCTTTCGCGAACAGTCCCGCTGGCTTCACGCTAGGTCGCCGAACAGTGTAACGTGTGCTTTGTTCACAGTAACATTCTTTGCCCAGTGCTTTTGGACAAGGATAACCAATTGGGTTTTCCTGAAAAAAATTCCCTAGGAGGCAGATTCCAATGAGACCCACGGGACATATTCTTAAAAAAAAAAAGCACACGACATGGCCTCGGGCATACGCGGACGGGCCCGAGGGTGCAGTGACTCGCCAGGTGCGGCCCTACCATTCCCGTGCGGTTCAGTCCGAGAACTGGAAAAGCGTCTCTGGGGTGCTGCCGTCAGAGGGTGGCTCCTGCAGTGTCTTTGTAGGGGTCGTTTTGCCGTGAGAGTGAGAGGAGGAAGAGTGGGAACTCTCGCTGGAGCTGCTGCGCGTCTCCGTGCTGGTGCTGGTCTTCTTCATTTTCCTTCTCTTGGCCAGAGGGGCCTTATCGACGTTCTGAAGGCAAAAGCCCTCTCTCTTGTATTTGTTAAAGGCCTAGGAGAGAGACAAGGGGACCTGGTGAAGGCAGAAGCGTTGACTTTTTCTTGGCAGCTATGACTCAGAGCAGAAGACAACTTTCGGTCAGCAACCATAGCTCCAAGTTGTTTTGGGAACAAAGCCCTAAAAATCATTATGATATTCAAACCTCTCGGCGGGATACAGAAGTTCACGGGGAAGGATTTCAGAGGGCTCTGTTTAATCAAACCAGCTAGGCTGTCCAGGAGGCATGATTCTAACACATCTTCTGAAGAAGTTAATGCTACGTCTCAAAGAAACACTGACTGACGGGGCATTGCTGAAGACTATCAGCAGTCTAACCCCCGCTTCCTCCCCGCTGTTGCTTTTACTAGTTCTGTGTCTGAGATTTAAAATTCTGACCACAGAGTCCCCAGAAAAACAGAGATTTATCCATTATGGGTCCCTGTTCTCCATATCCGAGCCAATGGAATTCGGGTGTCTCTTGGCCACTGAATATGTACTGAGAGGATTCGCCTTGCAAACCCCAGGCTGGCCCTCTTCTCCTCACAGTAGCCTGTCTGTACTTAGACTCAGGCTCAGGCATCGCTGCGGTTGCCCCTGACAACCTTGTATCATGTGTCATTGAGAAGATTTGGATCATCTGCTATAAATTCTTGCAGTTAATCTCTTCACACCTCACCATATCCTAGTTCATTAATTTTTTAATCCATTTCTGCAGCTGAAGAGGAAACATTATCACTTCTTTCTTAAGATAATCCCTTCAGAGGTAACTTTACTTCTCCCTAACTCATCTAGCTCCTCAGACAGTTATCTTAGTGCATTTGTATCTGCTCAGCACAAATGTGCAGAATCTCCAGTTACTGCTATGTAGTCTCAGCCTTACAAATATACAATCTATAATTAATGCCGAGTAATGTACTTCTGATCCCTCACAATCTCTAGAATATATTAGGCACAAAATGGCTGTTGAATGAACAGATGTTTACATATGCTTTAGTTCCTAATGTTATTTATAGTTTTTAAAAAAATCATTTAGCTTGAGAGCAAAATTCTAATGTTATGCACATTGTTTTCATTACCTACAGAAAATCTTCAACTGTTCAAATATCAGACTACTGCCTCATCTCACAAGCTCATTCTACATGTCAAATGACTATATTGTGGGTTAACAGTGACTCTGGTCCCCCATGCACGTTCTGCTTATAAATGTGTCACTAAGAGTGTCTCTGAGGTTACAGAGTGAGAACATGAGTCCCTTTCCAACGGCCCTGTGCTTGCAGAGCCACGGCCTTACATGGAAGGTCGCTTTCACACAGGTGTGCACAGCAGCTCCTGAAGATCCTAGAATGTCGGGAGTCATCAGAGGGTTTGAGGACAGCTGGCTGCCATCTTGAAGCCATTCATTGTATCTCAAGCCAGACATTTTAAGCCTTTTATTTGGATCAACGGTGAGAAGTCCTGTGGGAATAAATATTTTTATTTTATGATTTGTTGTTTCAAACATAGTTTAAAATCAACCGCAGGCATAATTTCTCAATTATGTTCACATGACATGATTTCTATATGGTTTCTGTAAGGCTTCAACTTTCTACAAAGTAATCACCTTTTCATATGCATTTCAACCCCCTAGTGAATACTGGATGCTAACGATAAAGGCCACTACAGCCTTTTTCTAGGAGGCTGAAGCCTGATTTCTCAATCAGTTGGAACAATGACTCCCACTGGTGACTGTGTAAACTGCAAATGAAGACAGAGTACCTAGACTCACTTTGTCCACGTACGAACGCCTCCTACAAGCCAGGGAGTGCAGTAGGGCACTACAGAAATGGAGACGGACACTCAAAGAGAAGCTATGAGGAGATGCACAGACAACACCCCAGCTATTACACCACAGGGGACAGGGGCAATAGCAAAATCCACGTGCACAGTGTGCTGGTGCGCCCAGGGGATGGGCTCAGCCTAGGGAGTGTGGGCGCCCTGGGAGGCTTCCAGAAGAGGGATTCTGGGGGATGAGCAGAAGCGGGCTCGATGCCCGGGGACTAAGAAGAGCATGTGTCAGGCACAGAGGCAACCACGAGCTCTGCGCACCTGAGGAATTCAAGCGGGTGACACGAAGCAGAAGCAGGCAGGGCCAGGTCATGAAGGGCGGGGTTCTGAACGCGCCCCTACGCATTTGGGACTGAAGTTAATGGATTCTCCGAAGGATGTTAACAGAGAGGCACGACCATGTTTGGATACTGGGAAGGGTGCTCGGCTGATCGATTACAGACAGGTAAAGTCAGAGGAAGTGAGACAAACTGAAAGGATGTTGTAAGATTTCAGAAGAGTAATGATGACAAAACCTAAGGCAGTAGCCATGTGAATGGGGTCGGGGACGGCTTAGGAGGGATGCTGAGCCTGCAGGACCGAGTGGCCGGCTATAGAAAGCAAGGAAGGCAGGGAGCTAGGATGGTGCCTGGCTTCCTGTTTGGTGACCTGGCTTCTTGGCAGTGCTAAGGAGGGAGGTGGGAGCAGGCACGTATTTGCGGGGAAGGAGAGTAACAAATTATAGGGCGTAAGACTGGGATGCTGGTGGATCTAAGTGCTAATTCAGTGGTGACAAGATTACTGAGGGGAACGTTCCAATAAGAAGAAAAGGAGGCTCAACAGAGTAGCCAGGAACCCTTTTAAAACCCAGGTGGGTTCCTTAAGTAACAAATATATGTGTAATGGGCATGATTCTACTTCAGTCACTACACATCACATAAATTGCCAAATTTCTTCGGATTCTTACCTTGGATCAAATCTTTAGCCTCTTGGGATACATTCTTCCAGGCTTCTCCTTCAAAGGAGAAATCTCCCTTTTTAATTTTCTTCATGATTTCCACCGCGCTGGTACACGTCAAACTTCTGTCATGAGACTGGAATGGAACCTGCCCTGACAACATTGTATACTACCGAGAGGGGAAAAGAAGCAAACAGGATGTTTTGATTGCATGTTTCAGCGGCATAATTTACCAAATAGGACAATTAGCATTACTGGGTTTAAAAAGAGTACGTGACTTCTATCACTGAAACAACCAACACACTTCGAAGACTTGTAAATAAAGAGGAGCTCTGACTCCGGGAGGTGAACACACAACGCAATATACGCAAATGATGTATTATTGAATTGTACACTAGAAACCTATCTAGCTCTATTAACCAATGTCACCCCCAATAAATTTAATTAAAATAAAAAAGAGGAATGGCTTATTATGACATGAAGATTTTAAATGATGTTTATAACTATATTCAGAACAAGAAGGATAAAAAAGGGAGTAGTTTTACCTTCAGAATTTGTATCTAATTCCAAATATCCTTTGCCTAGCACATTAACTATGGTTAAGGACTTTTTAAAAATTGTAGTTAGGACTTCTTTCTTTTGTTTGTAACCAATGGCCGACGTACTGGTGCTGGGTCCCCATAAGCAGATTCTGCAGGTGCATGGCCCACTTACAGAATTCATGTTTCTGTCTCTGCAGACTTAGGGTCTCCTCAGTTAGAGGCTCTGGTTCCATGAACTCAAGTGACCAGCTGCACTTGATAACAGGTGGCACCCAGCAGTGCGCCCTCTGCTCTCCCTCTCTCCTTGCTGTTTCTCTGGGATTTTGCTCCTTAGGGACCTGATAAAACATACACTTTAGCTTCGTGTTCTGCTTTCTGGGGAACCCAGACTAGAATATTTTTCTGTTGCTGATGAATATCTGACTTATTTCCAGTGTGGAACATTTTGAAACATGCTGCTATATACCTTCGTGTCTATGTCGTTTAGCACGTAACAACATACATTTCTGTTGGGTATATGTCTGAGGATGGATCTGCTGAGTCGTTTGGTCTGTATATGATTAGTAGCTATGCCAGAGTCTCCCAAAATCTGCTCTGTGTCTTAATCCTACCCCACTTCCTAACACATACATACGTGGCTAAATATAAGTAACCTTTACAAGTAGTATGGTTTTCTTGCTTTCTAATGTGTAATCATGCAACAGGCTTTTGGGTGGAAAAACGAATTCTCTATCACTGGAGGTATTTAAAGAAAGCTGGTGATCAGGGACTTTATAGAAGAGATTCCTTCTCTGGAAGACATAGAATTAAACAAACTTTAGGCTCCTCTCAACTCCAAGATTTTATAAATTTAGCTGACTATCCAGGAATCAACTTCTGTTAATAATAATTATGTGTCTACAAATTGATTGCAAATGGTTTGGCAAAAAAGCATCTATATCCATAAAGATGTATATGACACTCCATGATTATATCTCTCTCTCTCTGTGTCCACATATATTATATCTACATATGTATGTGTATGTACACATATACACATACATACATACACATATGTGTGTGCCCACAAGAGAGAATTAGGATTAAAAAGCAAATGTGGTAAAATCTTAGATGTTTATTCACAGTTATTATTCTCTCAAGTTTTCTCTAGGTCTAAAATTTTCAAAATAAAATTTTAGGAAAAAAGTGAAAAATAAGGTCTCCTGAATAACAAACGCTTGGAAGAAATATGTTTTAAGTGAAATTATGTATCACCCCATAGGTGTGTCACATATAATCACAGAGTATCATATAATCCTATTACATTTTCTAAACAGTGTGTTATGGACTGAATGTCTGTGTGCTTCCAAAATTCACACGCTGAAGACCCAGCCCTCATGTGACTGTATGTGGAGACAGGGTCCTCATGGAGATTATTTAAGTTAAACGTGGTCATAAGGGTGGGGCTCTGACTGAACAGGATTAGTGTCCTTACAAAAAGAGACACCAGAGAGCTTGCTCACTCTCTCTCAGCACATGCACTGAGGTAAGGCCATACGAAGACATGACAAGCTGGTGGCTGTAATCAATCCAAGGAGAAAGCCCTCAGCAGACAGACACTGACCATGCTGGACCTTGATACTGGACTTCCTAGCCTCCGGAACTGTGAGATAATAGATTTCTGTTGTTGAGACCACCCAGTCTGTAGTATTTTGTCATGGCAGCCTGGGCAGACTAAGACAGTGTATAAGCTCAAATTTAATTAAAGTCCTGTGTGCTTCTGATGGAGATTACACAACCATGAGGTAGACTGGGTTGTAATCAAAGCCCCATGATATTATGTGATACATCTTCCTGAAGTATTTGTTTTATTCTGTGGGGTTAACATAAATTATTTTCATATTAAAATATCCACATTCACATTTATTGAATACAACATGCAAAGGGGCCATAGATTTCTAAGGCAAATCAGGAGACTCCATGTAAATTCTGTGTTTGCTATGGGATAATTCAAGTTTTGTATCTAGATTCTCTGGAGATACTCATTCGATTATGTGGAAATGTTTGCAGAGCACTCTTTCTGATAGTTTAATGCAGGTGTTAAATTTATCTTTCATCTGTATTTCATTATATATCTCTAAAAGGCAAGGGCTTTTAAAAACCACAACCATAATGCCATTAACACATCTAAAAAAATTAGCAGTAAATCCTTTCTATCATTCAATACCCAATAAATAGTCAAATTTCCCCATTTGTGTTATATACCTTGTATACTACAATTATATCTGTGTGACTTAGATTTAGTTTGAATTTAATAAATAGAATTGAAACGAGAATTTCTTTGAATCAGAGTTCAAGTGAGATACAAACATTGTCTTTTAATCTACAGATTCCCGCACTATTTTTTCTTACAATTTATTTGCTGAAGAAACTGGGCCGTTTGCCCCGTAGGTCTTCATACAGTCTGGAGATTGTGATTGTACTCCTGTGGAATCATTTAACTTGTTCTTTTTACTGTTTCTCCTAAAAACCTGACATATCTAGAGAGAAGCACAGCTACTGTCCACACCATTACACAAAGTCATTTCCATAGGTACAGCATTCGGAAATTCTAAAACGCCGTTGGCATGTCTAAGAAGACTCTTCTAAATCTTAAAAAGCATGATGGTTATAAATGGCCTATATTTAAAGTAAGGGCTCTTTTACAAGGAGTAATCTTATAATATTATTAAATTGAAAGGCTCTTTTTTATCTAGACATTTTTTAGGAAGAGTGCTACTAATGAAAATGTAATCAGTTCAAGTCCTTAAAACCCACAAAGCTATACAAGTTAGTTGTTCATTTTTATTTTAAAAATCTTATTCATAAATATGTAATTTTAGTTTAAAAATGATAAAAGATGACTTAAAATTACTGAAATGAAAACTATATAAAGCTTAAAGAGGACCCATCCTGCAGAGACACCTGGCCAGCCACTGGGGAAAGCAAACTGACATGAAAATAAATCCCAGATGGAATGCAGATTAAAGTACAAAAATAAAATTCTAGAGGAAAATGTAGGAGAATGTTTTTATCTTGGGTTGGGGTAAGGGTAGAGTGACAATCTAACATCAAAGCCAGGTACAATAAAGGAACAGACTGACATATCTTACTACATAGAAATAAAAAGTTTACTATTTAAATCCTTCTAAAAATAAAATTAAAATCCCATGTGTTCATGGGATAAATAAAGTGTTCAAACGAATGACAAACCAGAAAAAACATTTCCAATATTAATGGCAGACAAAGGATTAAAATCCTCAACAGAGCTTTAACATTTAATAAGAAAAATTTCCCCATAGGAAAGTGGGCAAAGCTCATAAACAGCAATTTGTAAAAGAAAAAATACAAATGTCCAAATACCTGAAAAGATGCTTAGACTGAATATTCATCAAAGAAACGCATGTAAATACTAACAGAAGTAGGAAATAATTTAACATTGAAATTGATAGTATTCAGTGTATTTGTATACAGTTCATGAGAATATGATCTGATAAACCTTCAAGAAAGAAATCTAGGCAAATTTTCACATTATATCTAATATGTCAAAATAAAGATGTATATACTCTCCTCCTAGAAATCTAATCTAAAGAAATACACATGCGGTCCCTAAGAGACACATGTGAGCACATATATAAAAAAATATTCATTTGTATAGTTTATAATTAGTGAAAAACTGGAAAATGCTAACTGCTTGTTAGTAAAGAAATGGTTAAACAGTTTGGAGATTCGAACTACATGTATAATATAATCTCACTTGTTAAAAACCCCCAATATAAATGGATGTAGACAGAAAAAGCTGTGGAAAGACATAAAGCATGTGAAACATGGTGGGGGCAGGGGCGTTAGAGGGAGAGGAAGAGCTTGCATGGCACCATCTCTACGTGATGAGATTACGCGTGATTTCACTCTGTTCCTTCTATCCTTCTGTATTGTCTGAAAATTTCTCCCTAAGATTATGCATTACAAATTATATGCAGAACAAGTCATGCTATATTGAGAAAAGACATGCCAAGATTTCAAGCTTTAATATTCTCTTCTGATCATGGGCGCCATGGACAGTTTGTGAAAACTATGCTTACCATGATTACTGTAAGTTACTATAAATATTTCTAATTTTATCCATTGGTTTGTTAATTTATCCTGAATGATATTCTTTAATCACATTTTCCCATTTGAAAACCTCAAAGAATATATTTTTTAATGTTTTCCAATTAAGTCACTTTGCTATTTTCACATTATATCTAATATGCATCTTTTGAAAATAGACTACTGATTATTTTTAAAAAAAACTATATAACTCTTTTATTCACATAAAACGTAGCTGCCTCGAATATTTCAAAATGAACAAAAATCAAAATTCCTGCCTTTTGACCAAGGTAAATTTTGAAAAGGGGAATTAGTGTCCTGTCAGGCCTACAACTGGTTGTACAGAAAAGAAACCGACTTTGACGAGGTTTAATGACCACCGAAATGAACTCACCAAAATGACGCCCAAGCTCCAGAGGTCGCAGGACTCGTCGTAGCCATTGTGGTTCAGGAGCTCAGGCGCAGCATAATGAAGAGTGAAGCACGGCGTCTTGAGGGGCTGGTTATCGGGCGGCTTTAGGCGTGCAAACCCGAAATCAATGACTTTAATTTCCAAATTGTCATTTTCATCAGTGAACAATAAATTCTGCAAGACACAAACCCTTAAATTAGTCTCTCACTGAAATGTCATGGGACTTGGCGATGCCGTTTATGTAAATTATCTGCATACTGATACTGGTCCACGCACAGTGAGGGTCTGATGGGGGGTCTGGGAGCTGGACATCAGTGTCCCGGTGCTCTCTGCGTTGTACTTGTTTGTGCTGTTTCAATTTTACAGGGTAATGTGCGACAGTTTGTCGACAGCACCATGCCCTGTCTGATGTCAGAGCCTTTGTCTATGCTTTTCCAGAACTCTGACATCCTCCATCAACCTTTCCCTTCCAAGCTGGCCATGTGCACCTGCTCCTCATTCAGAGATACCACCTAACGGTGTCACCAGACTGAAGTCAGGACTTCTTAACTTTCTTCTAGCATTATTCACTCTTCCTTCCTGGCACTTATCACCTCTACATAGTTAGTCCACCGTCTTCGTCCCCATTGGACTATAATTCCATCAGGGTGAGGACTGTGTGCCCAGCTCAGTCAGGACTTCGATCCCGAGGGCCTGGCACAGTCACGTAGTAGGTGCTTTGATAAATATTTGTCCATCAAATAAAATCAGAAATAAAAATTATGTAAGATCCAGTAGAGCCTATCAAAGAAGACATAGATATACACTACATTTTGGAACTGTTTTCTCCAAAACAGTTAATACTTACACATTTTTTGATGCTTATGGATACTATACCTCAATTATTCAGAAAACATTATTACTTTGAACTATTCATCCACCAAGGCTTCTCAATCACTAAGGTTTTACTGTACTACTTTTTAAACTTATTACATCCTGAATAAATGCTAACGGTACTAATGCACGAATCATTCTTATCAGTACATGAAGCTAGTATCCGCAGCAAATGAACCTGATTATATTGTCTTTAGACATCCTTGCAAAAAACTGTCATGCCTTTAATGTTCGTTAAAGCATTCCCTAGCTCTGCAACATCATTTGTTTTAATATAATTCTAACTGAAATAAAAGACATCACAGAACACTTCATTGATACAAAGAGGAAAAATCTTCTAAGCCTTCCATTCAAAAGTTAAAAATAAGTAAAGTGGGAGGAAAGAAAAGCAAAAACTGAAAAGTTAAAAAAAATTTTCTATCATACAATGCTTAATTCTGAATTTGCGATGAAATTAAAATGTGGATATAATTAAATACAGAACTTCACCACAACGGAAGTTACAGGTGAGGTTCGTGGACATGTACTTGGGAGGCGTCTTTTCAGCAAATGACTCCAGAGCTTCTCCACAGGACAGGCACTGTGCTACACACAGAGCAGTGAGTGAAGCACACCTGGTCCCTGCCATCGGCGAGCCTACTAAATCTTTGGAAACTACTCCAGTTTATTCTGTATTAAGACTGGCAATAGACTTCCTTGATCTTAGATCCTGAAGGGGAGGGTGTGGCACTCCCCGCTCCCTTCGTGGCGCTGGGCGTCAAAGGCCAGGAATGATAGGGAACAACTATTCAATTTTCTTTCGACCTCGTCTCGAGTTCTGCCTGAAACTAATTTGATATAATTTTTAGTAATCTTTCAAGAGTATGGAGACCAGATTGAAAAATACAAAACAGTCTACTAAGAATGTCAGCCAGCCTCTAAATTTTTCTGATTCTCACCTAGAGTTTAAGATTTTGCGTATTCAGAAAATAAATGCCACATAAATATCTACCAAAAGATATATAATCAGATCTTATACGCTACATCCTTGAGAAAGGTATTAAATTTTCAGTTTGGAAATAATATATTCTGCCATTTAAAAGTCAAAGTGAAACTATTTTATATGAATATGTTAGTACAAAGATACATTTTCATTTTTCCAAAAAAATTTTGATTTACAACTATAATTATAGTAGAATGGCCTAAATATTCTTGTAATTCTTCATTCCAAATGACTATTTGAAAGAAGAATTTTATAATAAGAAGAATTAAGCTACATAAGTACCTTTTTATCAGTGAAATAGGTAGGCAAACTTAAGTTCTGCTTGAGAGGACAGTTGTATCATTTGAGACTCATGAGATGACAGATGGCCAGTGATTAAAGAATAAAACACGTGAAAATGAATTCTATACAGTCATGGAACAGATCTTTTCAATTAAAAAAATTTCATGCTTGTTCCTTGTCTATCAAGAAAACATTTAAGTGGTGTGCTTTCACATTTAAAAGCAGACAGCTAATCTCCAATGTAAAGAGCACCATATTTCTAGTGGGCGTTATGTAGGAGAGTGAGAACTGTGATGGAAGCAGAGGGGTAGCTATCACAATTGCAAGTTCATAAAACACAATTCACTTTTGATTAATTGCTAGTAATGTGAATAACAGTAATCGAAAGCACAGACAGAAGTTCACTTCAGGGATCAGTCAATTATATTCGAATGCACAGAATTCCATTTTATAAACACCCTTTTTTTCCTACCGATGGTCCAAGATACTTAAATAAAAGGCAAAAATGGTTCTCTTTGAGAAATACTCTTCTATGGTCTAACACAAAAAATAAACACCAAGTAAATCATTATTTTAAATATACTTGAAAACGCATTATAATCCCATGGTTGTTAAAAATGATGCTCTGTTTTGAAGAAGAAATATGTATAATTTTGCTTATGGTAAAGGATGATTCACTGTTATTCTTTTATCAATTACTGGGTTTTGTTTTTTAATTTTCATTGTTATTTTGATAATTTTCTAAAAGGGAGGAATTTTCATATTTTTGATACTAAAAAGGGATCATTCTAGAGTTAGAACCTTCTTTATTAACCCTTGCAAAGAAAAAATGTATAAAAAGCTGCTACTTCTGCATTGCTACACAGTTCTATAAATATTATAGTACAGGAATAAAAGAAAGCATATATAAGGATGGCAAAACTAATTAAAGACAATTCTTAACATTTAAATATTTAGAGCTATGTACATTTCTATTCCTGAGCTCACCAATTTGATTACAAATGTGAAAAACAAGCTTTCGAAATACTTCATTAAAAAAACCTAAAATGGTATACATATAGAAGTGATATTATTTTGTTATAAAAATGTCCATTGCTATTTTTAGTCCACAACTGTTGCATAAAGTATTTCCTCCATAAAAGGCTCTCACACTTACAAATATAACCTCGAGATGATCAGCTGGCAAAAAAAAGAAAGAAAAAAAAGCAAATTTATTTTAGACTGAAATAGAAAAGAAAAAAAACCCAAGGAACACGATATTTGCAAGTATCTATTTAGCAGAAAGGCCTGAAAGTTAAAAAAAAAAAAAAAAAGCCTACACAGATTTGGGGGCTGTTTACTGATGGCACAAGGGAACCTGTTCCTTTCTACCTCGGGTTTCAGGTCCCTGTGCACCACTCCGACGTCGTGCATGTGGCTCACGGCCGAAACGAGCTTCCGCATGATGTAGCTGGCTTCGGTCTCGCTGAAGTGTTTCTTTTTCTTAATGCGTTCAAACAGCTCCCCTCCGTTCAGAAGCTCCATCACCAGAAAAGTGTGAAGCTGGAAAAGGAGGAAAAATAATGTGAAGGGCCTTCGTGATGAGAGCTTATTAACATATGAAACATTTACTGAATATTAACTATTACCAACACATTTAAATAATCAACAGCGATCCCAGTATTTTAGTGGAAAGAGCTGAAGGATAATGTGGCTTTTTTAGAATTCTATTTCGGTAATGGAAAATTTCAAGTACTGCAGCGATATCTTTATATATCCTTTCCTTGACTAATTCTTTCATGTGATTTTTATTCCAACCCTCTCTGTCAAGTTTACATATCTTTCTTTTTAAAGTGTGACCTAGCGCTGATAATAATGTGAAACTGATTGCTTTAAATAATATAGATTACTGATGGAGTATGAGCAACTGCTCACGGGGAGACCTGGCACACTCGCTTAATGGCAGACTTACTTTTTAAAAAAGGCATCTTTTGGTGATATCACTTTATATCTCCTTTTAGGGCTCAACAGATGAGTTTTGGGGTTCCTGTTAATACCCATGGCAAATACCCATAATTCACTGTGGGGTTTTAAAAAAATAATTGCTTTTGATCCCAAAGGTATTATCTTAAATAGTATAAACAATTATATGCTTACTGTGCTTTGCATACATTTCTATAAAGAAAATAACATAGGAGGTGTTGAAAAGCAAAGGAATTATATTAGCTCTTAAATGAACAGAAATGGTTTAAAAAAGTATAGAGCTAGAGAGAAGATAATCAGGGGAATCGTTTCATAAACTATATAAATGTCTAACCAAGGTACTGTATACTTGAAACTGATAAAATAAAATGCTAAAAAGAAAAAAAAATTGTTGGCTGACCCAACAAAAAATCTACAAAGATCAGATCGGGGGCAAAAAAAAAGATAACAAATCAATATTCAGATTCAGGTGCTATGCATCATAGCACCAACGTCCCTCAACAAACAAAATATGTTGCCCTTTGATTCAGCAAAATCCAGAAAAACTGCTTCATAAAAAAGACAATTATAAATACATCATCCTGCACATATTGTACAAATTATAAAAGATGAACAACCCTTCTAATAAGAGAGCTGTTCCCGGGCTACTAGATATCAAGCCAATATGAGTTTCTATATCAGACAAATCAAGTCGAAGCTGAAGGTCTGCTGCCTAAAAGAGAAGAAGGAGGGCAGTACCAGCAACAGTTTAACAGACAGGTTTCAGAGTCAAAGCTGATCTGAATGCCAGTCTGCTACTTACTTAGGACCTTTGAGGTGCTGCTCCACCTCTATGCACGTTAGGGCCCTTACCAAGAAAATGCAGATGACAACGGGAAAACATATACACGGGAGCTTGAGTAAAGGCCCTTCAAAGATGCCCATATCCTACTGCCCAGAACCCGTGGATGTTACCTTATACGGTAAAGGGACTTTGCAGATGTGATTAAGGAACTGGAGATGGGGAGAGTATCTCCATTACCCATCAGAGTCAGCAGTATGAGATGGGTCTATGGAAACAAGAGTCTAGACTGATGCATGGGAGGATCAGAATGTGGGCGGTCTCTAAGAGGCTAATAAAGGCAAGCGAACAGACTGTCCCTTCAGGCATCCAGGAGGAACCAGCCCTGCTGACACCCCTGACTTTACACCAGTGGGACTGATATTGTACTTCTGATGACCAGATTGTCAGATACTAAATTTGCATTGTTTTAGGTTTGTGGTAATTTGTTACAGCAGCAATAAGAAACTCGTAGGAGTAGAGAAGTACACAAAATGAGCTAAACTGCTGTACTGTCAAAGGCTGAAAACTCACCCTCAATCCACTTCACCCATTAGAAGACTGTGAACTGGGGATGATCTAGGCAACGGTGTCACCGTCATGGAAAAAACAACCCAAGTATCAACAACTGTATAGCAGAATGATAGTATGTTTATACTAGTACATATACGATTTCGTCGTGAGACAATGTATATTCTAGTAACTCTTGAATGTAGAAATAGCAAATAATAAATTTAACTTGGGACATAAAAAGTTAGGGATGCAGTTCCTGACATCTGACATCAGCCTGAAGGTCAGAGGTCAGATGTCTTTGCTGGGATATAGCTGGGGGAACAACTGGAGTGGGGGAGGGCACAGCTGCAAAACCACAGAGCGGGGTGAAGTCATCCACCAATCCCTTGATTAACGTGTGAATCATCTTCACTGGGAGACTGTCCAGCCCCCGTCAGCCCCTGCAGTGGACAGGGCCTATCTCCACTGTGGTTGAGCAGCCCAAGGAGGTGGAGGTAACAGAGCAGGAAGAGTCCTTGCTACAGAGATTCCTTTTCTGGCTCTGAGAACCAAAGAGCAACAAGACGAGGATATTATTTTTGCTCACCCACCTGATGTGAAAACTGGCTTACGTTCCTGCCTCTTCTAAGGCAGTGGAGCGAAGCAAAAGCTTATTCTGAAGTTGGACTGCTTGGGGTCAGATCCCAGCGTTACTGCTCACGGACTGAGACCTTGTAACTTAACTGCTGTGAGTTTCAGATTCTTGCCTCAGAGAGTTACCATACGGATTGAATAAGAGAACCCACGTGCAGTGTCTGGTGCAGTACCTGGACCACATACGTATGTGACAGTTAGTGGCAGCAGTTACTATAGTTACGCTGCTGCCGCTGTCTGGTTTCACCAGGACGCATCATTCTTGGGCGTAGCACGTGGGTAAATTCTGACGTGGCAGAGCAGTGGGCCTCAGCTAGCCCGTGACAGCAGCACCACACTGAGAGCCCAGCATCAAGATCATGTTTTCCCAACTCGATTTTCACTGACTTGCTATGAGACCCAGGACAAGTCTCATGACCCTTCTGAATCCCAGCTGCTTCTTTGGTAAAGACAGGGTGAACCACATCCATGACTGGTTTTAGCTCTTGTGCCCAGCATGTTGTCTTGAGCAGGGCTGTGTCACCCTGGCCAGTCCCAGGGGTAAAGGTGATCGTACTGGAGTGATTTCTGTCACGGAAGATGGCAGCGCAGGGACTGGAGAGGAGACACAGACCTGACACTATGGTGCTCCTCTCATACCCAAAGTCACATGCTTCTGTGTGAGGCTGCGCTTTGAAAGCAGGACTAGGAGTAGAAGAAGGGACAGCATGACATGCCCTGTGGTCTGAGCTGGAACCGCCACCTGGATAAGAAGATGAAAGGGGGGTACCTTTGCTCTTCTGCTTTCTATTTGTTCTTTCGCTTGCACTAATTAGGCTTCAGGCTCTTTAGAAGTGAAAAGAAAGTTGAAGGCTGGAAATTTCTGGGTCCTGACATGTATGAGCAATTAAGCTAAGGTGGCAACAGCTGACCTGGCAATAAGCACAGAGAAGCTTGCGGCGGCGGCACTGGGCCCCTGCTACTGTCTTCCTCCCACGTCACGCGTGACGACTGCCGAGTGAGAAAAGCAGAGGCGAAGGACGCGTTGATTTGGGGGTGGGTCAGAGTGTGTGTGGAGCGGTTTCTCTGACCCCTGCAGTGGCTGGGTGATGTCCCACGATGTTCCCCACTAACCCAGTAGCACCAACGAAACCGGTGAAAAGGAGAAACCTGAATGTGAATTAGTATGAAAGAAAAAAAGTGCGAGAATACCTGATCATGAAAAACTTCGTGCAATTTCACGATATTGGGGTGTCCTTCGCAGAGTTTCAGAGCTGTTATTTCTTTCTGAGTGTTGGCTTCCATCCTGCAAGATGACACCGTTAGCCTCCACAAACCTCATCGCCAAGTTTTTATCTCGGTATTGCCCCAAGCCTAATTTTTTTTCATTTAGAGTGCATTCAGGATTAAAGTGTCAACGTGTCAGAATGAGGTTTCCATGAAAGTAATGAGTCATATCACCCACCAGAACAAGTAATGCATTATTCTCAAGAAAATGATTATTTATGAGTCAGAAAAAAGCTAATCACGTGAAGACATGGATGCCTTACTTGCCTAACAACTTGGTAATGAGAATATATAATCATGGAGGTGATAATCAGTTACTTAAATAAGCTGGCTCTCAAATTTACCAGTAAATTGCTAAATAATTTCGGAAAAAAGGTATTTCAAATATATAATGAATAGGAATGGCAACGGCTACTGTACTCACTAAGAAGGTCTGATTAAATACCACTGGCACAAGGAAGTGTTCTCATGATAAAGTCAAAAGCATCTCTTACTATGGTTTATGTCTAAAATGGATTACTTTATCAGAAAATACCTATCAGAAGTATAATGAATCAACTGATGAGCCTGAATGACTAAACCTGTGGGCAAAAAGCCTTACAACATACTGTTGATTTCCCTTTAAATAAAAATTTTAATTTACAGAATGCATTGACTAGGATGAATACGCAAGACAGACTGCGAGAAAGGTCATACCTTTTGCTGATTATTTTGACGGCAAATGCTTGGTTACTTTTTTTGTGTATGCACTTTCGACAGATTGAAAAACTTCCTTCTCCCAATGGTTTGTCCTTCAGATCTAGGTCGTAGTGTTGGTAGAATGGCGAGTCCTAATAAGAAACCAGTATCACTTAAGAAAATATTAATAATGCACAAGAGATAAACAAAACTGTAGTGACGTATAATAAATGTGGATGTAAGACATACATAATCTTTTAAAATCCATCTTATTTTAGTTCATTTCCATGTTCATCTACATCATTTACTGAAGACACAAAATTTTCTCTCATTGTGAAAAGGAGCTCATTCAAATTGATGTTGATAATTCCCTAGGGCAAATATTGCTATTTCCATTTATTCATTTCTTAAAATTACATCTTAGTCAAATGGTACGTCTATTACATTTACTGGACTTGAAAATGTTAATTAGCATTTAAACCATAAATATGTCATTTACTTAGCCACATCTATGTACCTTCATCATTGCACTCCTGGCCACATTTGTCGCTCCAGGACGGTCAACTCCCATGTGAAACTGAAAAGGATCTATGACGGCTGCATTACGCTTGAACAGAATAGAAGGCGCCACGAAAGAATAGCCCTAAAAAACAAAAGGAAAGGTGAAGAATAAGGATTTGCAATTTTCCAGTTGAGCACAGACTAGACTGAATCAAGAAAAAATAATAAATGCTCAAATACTTATTAAGATAAATCTAATTTTATTTGTAATCTACAATGTAAGGTTATTTTGAATTAATAGAGAAATGCTTTTCAGAAGGAGATAATGCCATCTTCTGGTAGAATTAAACCAATCCAGAATTAAAGGCAGAAAAATACCTGCACCTTCTTCCACCCCCAAAATCTGACTCATAGCTGTAATTCTTTCGCACGGATGATAAAAATTCATTTATAAACACAACTAACTTCTAAAAGCAGATAGAGTTAAGGTATTAAGCAAAGTGGTCCAAGTGCTACTATTTCCCAAACTAGAAAAAAAAAGCAAGTTTCATTACAGTTTGTTTCTAATTCAGCAATTATCTGACTATTGTATTTCCTTAGACTAATTAAAATTGAGTTTTAGAAAAAGAATAAAATCAAGTGGCAGAATCATGTGCTAAACCAAAAGTGATATAATGATGGATGATTAATCTGTTCAAGCTAGAACATTCACTAGTTCAATGAACATTTTTAAACATCTACTACGTGCCCAGTTAAGTGCTACATATCAGTGTCCTGAATATGGAGAGACACAGCTTGGCTATACTTGTGGGAGTCAAACAGGTGAAGCTATGACACCATTTAATAGAATATCTCATCTTAAGTCTGAGAAAGATCCTTTTCTAAATACAAAATCCTTTCTAAACTTTTTAGAAAAGCAGTTAAAATTATTCACTGAAAATAAAGAATCAGATAACACCCTTTGTGGACTAAAGAATATTGTATATGAATAGAGGTGAAATAAAGTAGGATCGTATTTTCTGTAAAAGAGCCTGAACGGAATAAAATCAATTCTTTATATCAAAAATAAACACATAAATAATGGCTGCTATTTAACAAATCATAAGCTCTAGTTAACAACTGCAATATCTCTGTATTTAATAATTTTGAAGACATTAGTGAATCCTGTTTAAAGATGCCAAAAAACCTTTCCTGTGGGAAAATTAACCTTTTCGTTCAAAGCACTCTTGGAGGTTACCTGAAACAGCCTCTCGGAACTCTGGGGCAGCGCTGCGGGGGAGTAGGTGGGGTCCATTTCCGTGAACTCTTCTGCAAAGTTACTCACGTCTAATTCATCTCGGATGACGGGTTTAAATGGTGCGGGCACTTTTTTGGCAGCTAAATCATCCCAATTTATTTTCTAAAACAGAGAAAAGAATATTAGTACAAAGTAGAAAAATCAGCAAAGTTGAAATATATTTTCTAAGAACAACAAAGCCAGAATGGGATTTTAATTGATCAGTAGAAAGGCATATATTTCAAACTAACGATTAAAAAGATATGTTTTTATAACCACGAGTCCATTTTCTGACTGCAAGCTTACAGCCTCAGCCAAGATTATGACCAAAAAGTAAAGACTGCTTTTATGTCACTGTGGAGTCCCACGGTGTCCTCTGGGGGGCACCAGGACACCTAGTTTACCCTTCGGGATAACAGAAAAATTGTATTTGTTCTGAGCCTCCTGAGAAAGGTGTTAAGCCAAAACAAAACAAAAACAAAACTGTAATAAAGGGCTCTAAAATGCTTTGTGGATAAGAATGTTAAGTGTAAAGGCATATTCCCTATTTTCTAGAGGCAGTGTTATTTAGCTCTCCTCCTGTACCTGGCTTTTCCTCCTGGTCATCGGGACAGATGAGAAAATAAACACACTCACTATAAGTCTTGCATTTGTTTACATCTATAAGTTTAAATGATACCCTCATACTGATATAATCACTGCGTTCTCATTCAACTGTATTCAAGCATTATAAACACTGCCTCTTCTCTTCCCCACGGCATAATCCAAGCCCCATCTCCACTCACATCAGACACTTACTCTTTGATAAATTGCAGTTTGATATTATTCAAATTCAACTCTCTACTTTGTTTTCTTTATGCTCCTTCTATCGCTTAATTCGACCTCAGATAATACATACTGAGTCCTACAGATATCTATTAAAATATTTTTTTGACTCTAAGATGTCATCATGGATAGCAAGAAATACCATTATTTATGTACGATCAAGAAAAAGAAGCATTATTAATCAGAATAGTAAGAAGTTGTCCATTGTTAAGATGCATACTGATTTGAGAGATGATAAAATGAGAAACTTGCATTTTTAGGCTGATGACATTCTGTAAGTTTATCAACTAACAAAATTTTATTATGCCCTCTTGTGGAGGCAATGGAGAGAAAATCATTAAATGAGAGATCTTCACATTTTTCAGCTAGAATGGGTTTGAGAGATCATTTAGCTTATCTCCTTTCTTTGATCCAGAAGGAAATCGAAGCCCAGAAATAAGAACTAACCGTTGCACGTAAACATTCACTAGGGAACAGTCGGGATTCGAACAGTCTCTTAACTTTCTAGTTAGTGTCCTTTCATCTATGTGGCTGTAATGTTTTCCATCACAGGTATATGATTTGTGCTAGGCCACTGTACATACAGCAAAAGAAACTTCTAGAGTAAAGGAGTAATTTAAAGAAATATGTTGTTAGCAGGGGAACATTAAGTATGTAGAAAACTGAATGCTATTACGATCCTCTCTACTTCTACTCAGTTTAGGTTTTTACAGGTTAAATTCTGTTTTTCCCCAAAAGTGTCCCTGTCATTTAAAAAGTCAAGGCAATTAACCTAAAATTACTATTCCAAGCTACAGAAAAAAAGAAATTTCTCTAACATGAAAGATATAATATTCACAAATACAGGGAACCATGAAGAAAAAGATCCTAAGAATATATAATTGGGGATATTTTGTTTGAACATTTTCTGGAACTTTCCCTTGTTATTAATTTTTGAGCCAAACTTCTCAACAAGATATTTGAAATCACTGGTCAAACAATAACCTTTCCAAGCCATATGAACCTATGAAATGTACATACTGAGAAATTAATTTGATTCTAAATGTATTTCTCGCTATGTTACTGAACTACTGTAAGATATAGAGTAATATTTTTTAAAATGGTTAGACACTGAAATAAATGTGCTCTTTTTTAAGCACAGAAGTACAGAGATAATTCTTATTATTCTCAATTACTATTTGTCTTTTTATATTTAAAAAATAATAACATGAAAGCTTACTGCACAGCAAAGTTTTCTCTTTGCTTTGATGCTATTTTCATTCGTTTTGGTGCTAATAATGTAGTTTGGGTGCTAATAATGTAAAAGCTCAGTTTGCAGAATAAAAATAAAACTTGGACAGTCCCTTTAGACCATAAATATTTAAGTCATGCTTCTTGATATGCTTAAACTATGTCAAGGTCATAAGCTCAGGGTTTTAGAAATAAAGGTCATAGCATCCCAGGTTGACCATTTAAACTCAAATAACTGGCCAACTCGGTCAATTTCACTTTTTTTTTTTTTTTTCCCCAAACAGTTATCTAAAATTTTGGTGGTTTTTTGGGGGACAAAATTGAACAAACTAAGTTGAGCAGATGTGTTGGTGTTCTGTAGAATGTTCTCACTGGGCTTCTTCAGAATAAAAAAAGCACTATCTCAAGTACAAAGAAAATAAATGAGTAATTCTCCATGTGTTACAAATACATAACTAAGAAATAGGTAGATTTTTAACTTTCTAAGATTTCTCCTGGGAAAAGAAGAGATGAAATCACTATCTAAAAGGTGTAACACTTTGACTCTTGAATTGAGAGAGAAGTAAAAAAATATAACCAAAGTAAAAGTCTCCTCAGTACATATGTGTAAATCTTGGTATCATAAATGAAAACCAATACTCAGAAACTCTAATTACAGCTGACTCTTGAAGAACACAGGTTTGAACTATGCAGGTCCACTTATATGTGGATCTTTTTTCAATAAATATACAGTCAGCCCTCCTTAACCCTGGTTTTTGCATCCAAGGACTCAGCCGCGGATTGAAACAGTATTTTTGATGTGGCTGGGAATCTGTGGATACAGAGGGCCGACTACATGCATTGTTCTACACCATTTTATATAAGGGTCTTGAGCATCCTCGGATTTTGGTAGCCCGGGGTGGGGTGGGGTGTGTGTCCTGAAACCAATCCCCTTGAGAATATCAAGGGATGACTGTAGTTAGGTTTGGGGGGAGTCAAAAGTATGCTGAGAATTGTGACTGCACAGGGGGGTCAATGTCCCAAACCCCCACATTGTTCAAGGGTTAACTGTACGATGTAGAAAATTGAGTGTTATGATCCTCCTCACTCCTGCCTCAGGGAGAAAAAGACCATTTACGTCTCTAAAGTAGAATTATGATCCTTCCAAAAGGGTCCTCGTCATTTAAAAAAGGTGCAATGTACTTGAAAATAGGGGGAAACGGACTCCAGAAGGGACCATGTTCACTCACGTCCCTAAGAATGCTGAGTACCCTGAGAACGGCAGGGCACAGAAACCGTCTGTTCAATAAATTTCACCTGAAAAAAGAGATGTTCTTTGATTTCATCCGCATCGCGTGGGCCACATCCCAATCTTTTCTTGGGATCTTTCATCAAAAGACGCTGAAGTAGGTCTTTAGCTAAAGCACTCATCTCTTGGGGATACGGAGGCTCACTTTTTAATATTCTCCTGTAGGCAGATAAAACTTGCTGTTAAAACACCCAGAGGATGACGTTAGAGTGACTGTGTTCTTACCAGCAACGAGTTAGCGCAACACACTTTGGAAGTAAATTACGTGTGAAAAATATAAAAAAAATTTTAAATACGAAATAAAATTTCTGAAACTTAAATAAGCAGAAACAAAAAGTACTGGATCATTTTTCACTATAACTCAATCCTAGTAAGAAGCCACCATCCCAAATATTTACTTGGAGAAAAAAAAAAAAAGGAAGGCTTGGGGCTAGATTAGACTTCCTATCTGTGGACTAGACGCTATGATCAAAGATTTCACACTGGACATAACTCTTAAGAAATTAGGGAAGGGAGTTCAGCACTCAGATTTGAAAGGACAAAAGAGAAGGATGAAGGCAGAGAGAGCCAGAACCACTTGGATGTGGCTCAACTTCTGATATCGGAATGGGATGAAAGCATCTGCTTCATTACCTGCTACAATGAAATATGCAGGCAAGCCCTAGAAGACAAGTGGCACTCAAAAACAGAGTGAAACCTGCTCCACATTATTATAGAAGATTAACAATTAAGATAACCAAGGTTCTTGCTGAAATATTTGCATTTATTCTAAGGTCACAGAAGAAATCAATCTAATCAATCTAATCGATCTAATCAATGTACCTTTGCCCCCTTAAAAGCCAGATCAGTAATTTAATGAGAAAGAAATAATGGAATGAATTGATTAAAATTAAGATCTTTCCCTGTGTGCCAGCGAACATAAGGGGCCAGCGGGAACGCAGAAAGGAGGAGGATGAAGGCAGAGAGAGCCAGAACCCCTTGGATGTGGCTCAACTTCTGATATCGGAAAATGAGCACTAGAGCTGGAGGCTTGTCATGGGATGAAAGCTGCTTCATTACCTGCTACAATGAAATACGCAGGCAAGCCCTAGAAGACAAGTGGCACTCAAAAACAGAGTGAAATCTGTTCCACGTTATTATAGAAGATTAACAATTAAGATAACCAAGGTTCTTGCTGAAATATTTGCATTTATTCTAAGGTCACAGAAGAAATCAATCTAATCAATCTAATCGATCTAATCAATGTACCTTTGCCCCCTTAAAAGCCAGATCAGTAATTTAATGAGAAAGAAATAATGGAATGAATTGATTAAAATTAAGAAGCTGAACACAGTATACATGGAAAGAAACAGTTGCTCTACTATTTTGACTTTGCAAAAAGATACCCTCTTGTGAATTAAAATAGGAATAATTTCTATGGAACAAAAACAGATAATATATTTGTAAGAGACAGTGTAGTGTCATAAGAACATGAACTTTGGAGCCAGATTGCATCCAAACTCAGAGTTCGATAAGCTCTGCTGCTTACTGGCCATGTGACTTTGAGATCATTACTCTCTTTGTACCACGGTTTCGACTGGAAAATGGGGATAACAATACCTACCTAAAATGGGTATTAAGATGCTTGAATGAGTTAAGACACGATGTACAACGCTAAGCACAGCTCAGGGAACACGGCAAATGCTTGCTAAAATGAGCTACTGTTATATTCTCTCCTTCTAAGGCAACCCACCAAGAAAATAAACACAGAGACGGTAGCAAGTAGCCACTGAGAATCTGTGAAATGATACAACTGTAATTTTTGACTAAAACTCTAGCAATGTTGTTCATTTCAAAGCTAATTCTACTTCTAGCAGTCCATCCGGGGAACCTAAAAAAATGATAGAACAAGTAAAAAGATAAGCAGTATGCTCTTTTCTGTGAGATTCTTTAGAATTATCCCATTGCTCACTGCTCATCGGGGTTTTCAGCAATAGAGAAAATCCCTGCTCAGATCAGGCGCGGGCATATCTGACAGAGAAACCAGGAGCTCTGTCTCTTAGGAAAAAATAAGCATAGGCTTTTCCATTTTCTCCACTTTTCATGTACCTTTGCAGGCAAGAATTAGTGGTATAAAAAGATCCAGCTATAGATAACGCTGTTGCTGACATTCACTTTTCTGAACCGGGGTAAAGAAATAAGCCCTTGGCTGACGTCACCTGAAGTACTAACTCCACATCGTCAATTACTTCTTAAACCTGAGTCATCTGACGTTTACCGGAGTCTACTTTGTGCTGGGCATTGGGGAAAGGTGTGGTCAGTCATGTCAAACACGCTGGGTCCAGACACAAAAGGAGGGGCATCGAGAGAGCAGTGAGCACCCAAGATCAGGAATGGCCCCATCTAGATGCCCAGACTGGAGAGAGGAGCAGAAAGAGGCCTGCGAACACCTCCAGGAGGTGGTCTGGGCACAAACAGCAGCCCTGGTGTGCAACCTGGGTGTGTGGCAGGTGCCCCGTGCAGGGGACTAGAGTTTGAGACTCAGATGAGGCAGGGATCAGACCAGGAAGAAACTGAGCAGAAATCTGGAGGAATTCTTGTTGAAAACAGAATGAGGGAACATGGAGAACGACCAGTGACAGCCCCAAACCCTCGCCTACCCTGAGAGAGATGGTCAGAACCAGCAGGAGGAGACTCCGGCGGATGCTGACGAGACCCACTCCAGCTTGAGAGGTGAAAGCAGGAGCCTCGCAGAAGGAACAGCACTTAGGCTACCTGCTGTCTCCGTAAATGGAGTGGCACAGGGTTTCCTTAACAGGTGCGTTCTGAAGCCTCTTCCTGGTAGGAAGCTGCATGCCAGGAACAGGACTGGAAATGGAGGTGGGGTGGGAAGGAGAGAGCTCACAGCAGGCTTAAATCCTCTCTTCCCAAGAAGATGATCTTAGATTCACCTTCTTACGTTGTTTCCTTGAAACATACTGGGTCAAGATAAATGTCAGCCATGCCCGGTTATTGCGAAGTCACCCCTGAAGGGTGAACTGTGTCTGGCCGAGACGTATGAGCAGTCACACGGGCCCGGAGGGATTTCTGGTCCAGGACTATTTAAAACCCTTTCGGAAAATGCAAGCTTCTTTGTGTTCTCTCTTATCTCCAGTGGTGTTCCTGTGGGGTGTCCTAAGCTGTGCCCATGGGGGTTAAAAGATACAGTTCCTGTATTAAGCTTCCCGTGGTGGGATGGCCCACACCCACCCACTCGGTCTCATGAGTGTGTCCTTTCAACCAGGCGGGTGGTCGAAAGCACTCCTGGTGAGGACACGTTTGATGCTGTCACGCTGATGCACTGTTTCCTGACCTGTATCTTAGAAAGCTCAGTAAAACCAGTGCCAGATTGCAGCCTATTACGCCCCGTGAGTATGAACTCCAGTCTGAGTCCTAGAACACGTGGCTGTGCACGACCGCACGGCGGAAGCGGGGACACAGGCAGAGTCCCGTGATGCCTGTCCTCACAGAACTGGAGCATCTCGCAGCAAGAGCGGGAGACAGTTGTCAGGTGTTGCTACGGCTTTACCTCTTCCAATATACTTGATTTCTGAACTAGTTAATAACCTAGAGCTGTTTCTTCTTGCTTCTAAATAAATCACAGAGCCCTCTGTAAAATCGGACCAGGCTCTGAGTCGATCACACTGAACTCTTCTCGTGTATGTTATTTAATCCACACAACAATCCTATCAAAAGGCCACTATTACTGTCCCTGTTTCACAGACGAGGAAAGAGTCCTTTCAGAAAAGCAAGAAATATATATGAATAAAAATTTCAGGCAGATATTTTAGAATATGGATAACATTAATATTTATTTACAAGAGTAAGCACAGAACATAGCTAAGAAAATTTTGTAAAAGAATAATTGGGGAGGGTTTGCATATTATATATGTATTATAACTGTATTATAAATGTATTATATAACAAAATTGTAAAAGTAAAGTGCTAGCAAAGTAAATTAACAGTCAAATCAAGTGAACGGAAGAGACTACTTGAAAATATCGAAGCATATAGAAAAACTTACATTGTTTTTAAAAAGTGACCAGTCAACGTAAGGAAGGCAGCACTGTTCGACAAATGTGTTGGGGGCGGGGGGACCAGTTGTTTGGGAAATAAATAAAAGCAGGACCCTTGCCTTATGCCACAACCCCAAATAAAGTCCAAATGGATTGAGGAATTACTTGTAAAAAGAAAAATGAAATAAAATTAAAATTTACAATAATATAAAAATTAATATAAAATTTCTTCCTATTCATGGATGTTAAGTTTCTGAAAACCCCTGTGGTAAAAGAAATTCACAACTGATTAGCTTAAGAATTTATGTAGTAAAGGGTAGGGGAATCAAGATGAAAACTAAACCTATGATAGAAGGATGGATAGATGGGTCGATATATAATAAGCAAGGATGGTAGAATATTCATGGTAGAATCATGGCAGTGAGTATATAGGTATCCACTGTAATAGATGAAATTTTTCATAATAAAATGTGGTGGAAAAAGTGAACCAGTGAAATTCTGCACACGTGTTTTGTATGTTCACTAAAATATAGCAGTAAAGAACTGTCCCAATAAAAAAGTAAAAGGGGTCAAATATGTGGTGATAGAAAGAAATCTAACTATGGGTGGTGAACACACAGTGCAATACATATATGACTTACTGTTGAACTGCTCATTCGAAACTTATTGGATTTCGTTAACCAATGTCACCATATATAAAAGGAAAGTACCAATGGCCCTTAGATCAACGGCGCTAACAGTCACGGGCGATGCTCATCTCGTCGCTAAGGTCTCCACCGAAGTGTCATCCTATCAGAGTGGCCATCTCTGACCATCCTAACGAAACTAGCTGTTTTCTCACATTCTCTTATCACTTGCCTTTATTTTTATTCATGGAATTTACAGGCCATTCGATATTTATTTGTCTATCATTTACCTCTCCCAACTAAAATACAAGCTCTAAGGGAATAGGGTTTCTCTTGTTCTGTTCACTCAGGATCTTTCTTCCTCAGTTTCAATAGATGCCTGCAAATAACTTTTCCACTTTTTTGCAGACGGCATGCATTCTCACGAGTTGTTTATTTGTATTTGTCCTCCCTTTAAAAGTTCACGATCTTTCCTATTTCGTAACTTAATGTTGTTGAC